ACAGTATTGTTAACCAGTAGTACCAGTGTTGCTGGATGTTTCCTGTCGTTGTTGCAATTGCCACTCGTGGTTTCCGTGCATGCTTGCTGTCCGGGAAACAGCGTAATTACCCTTTGCATCCTCTGCAAAGCCTTTACTCGGAGAAACGCCCGAATAAGCACTGGCGCGAAGGAAGTGTTGTACACTCACTGCGCAAACAATGGACAGGACCTGCCAAAGAATGCCACTCGGGCCTGCACCTAGAAGACATAGATTCGATGTCCTCTTCGTCGTGAGCATCGCTACCTGTGAACACAGGTCTTGTAACCTCTCGTCTCGTAGTACAGCCACACCTGCATCGAATGCACCATGCAAGGGCAGAGCAGGGCCTCACGACGGACTTGGCTCCACATGGGTCAAGAAGCCTGGATGCAGTTTAGCTTGTGATACCAGGTTTGTGACTGATACCAGGTTTGTGACTTGTGTTGTCGGGAGCTCGGTCGTGAGCTTGTTCGGAACCTCACCTTAAAGACCCAGATGCAGCCCAAGCCGCGTCCTGCACGACCACAGCTCACAGCGATGTGCGTGAAGGTTGCTAAGAAGAACATGTACATCGAAGGGGAGGGGGAATGCCGGAACCCCAAACATGCCCAAACCCGTGTCAGTCTTTGTGAGGAGAGTTGGTGGATCGGGCGTATTCCTCTGTTGTGGCCTACCCTCTAGACGACGAGGACATGCGCCACTGATTGCAGCGGAACTGCGCCATACTCGAGTTTTGCATCCTTTGGAGCACTTGTTGAGTTGCAGTTTTATTGAAGATGCATGAAGTAGGGATCTCGCAGCGCTCCTCTCTGACGAGAAACCTACATCTCTGCGCCTCGGTCTGACCCGAAGGGTCTTTAGACGGGATTGCGGTGCACCTCAGCAAATCGCTGTGAGGCAAGATGCATCCCTATTTTTGGGCTAAAGCCCTGCAAGGCGCAAGCACAATGTCCGACAGTTTTGCAACAAGGAATCAATCCCTAGGACCTAGGAGCGTTTGGGCGACTGCACCGGGCTAAGATTTCGACACTTCTGCAATGCACGTGGCCTGAAGGTTGTGGGATTCATGGATTAGGGCTTAGCAAAGTGGGCAACGCTTCTAAGCTGAGCACCGCACCCTCCCCTGACAAAATGCCAAAAGCGAAATTCCTCCTCGCGTTGACCCAAACCCTCCAGTTGACTGATTGACTGACTCCCCAGGGAGGGCTGTCTCGTCAGACAACTAAATGCCCCGAGCTTTGCCTACACAGGAGTCATATGTAAGGTTGAAGGATAAAGACTTACGAGAAGAACAGTCCTCATGCTAGATCTGTACGAATTATTTCTGAGCACGCATCCCAAAAGCAGACAGAGTTGTGCTGAGGAATGGAGACCCTTGCAGATTGTCGCGCCGCCTGCGCTGCAGCCCTAGAAGGATCTGGATGTAAGCATCTTTCCAAGCAGGTTTGTAGCCATGACTCAACCAATAGAAGTATTCGCTGCCGTGATGATTCAGGCAAGGCTCGTTGTGTATCAGCTTTGACTTTCGAAGGCCCAGCATCGGATAAATGGTAGCCGAGTAGTTGGAGCTGGGTGTCCCAGCACTTGCTTTAGTCTGCGCTTGGAGACTTTCGACTCGATACTTACGCGGGTTCTGCTGTTTCGGGCTGTGCACATTTTCCAGGGTTTTCCCCTGGAGTTTGTGCTTTTCGAGTTTTCCGGGTTTTTGTGAGCTGTGGTGCACTTTCTGAGCTTGGTCGTGGTATTCACGATGTTTCGTGCAACTGTGCAGTGACTAGCTTCGGACTCGGCATCTGCTTGGTATTTGCGCTGCTTCGTGCGCTGCGACTAGGGACCGGCACCTCAGTGTTTCTAGGGCTGGGTGGGCGGCTGGTTCCGCCTAGCCCCACAGCCCGTTACCTTCATGACACCGTGTAGACCTCAGGCCCCTGCTCCCAACCCCTAATGAACACACCCCCCAAATGATGGCAACATTCTGAAATTTACAAAGTTGCGAAATGTCGACATGCCAACTTTCGCATTCTGAGCGGGAACGCCTCGGGCATCGGGCAGTTTAGGCTTTATCTGCGGTAGTTGCGCTTAATCGTGCTGCTGCCAGAAGGTGTTGCTGATGTTACGTCTCACATCGCTCGGACACTTTATCTTATGTAGCGTTATGTTGAATTTGATGGCGACGTCAGTGTTGATGATCGAGAACGATGTCGATGATGTCTCGTAATTGTGTTCATTTGTCACTAGTATACCGTTGTTGTTTGGAAGCAACGGCTCGTGGCCATAAATTCCAGGGTCCACTAGAGTCACTAGAGCGTGCAAGAGACACCGGATCCCCAAACTAGGTGAAGCAGATCGACTGCTGGCAGTTCTCTTTCATCACGAGCCAGGAGGGGAAACCAACCGCTTCTGTGATAAGTGGCTCGGCCATTTCGTTGCAGCGCTCGCCTTGGAGCCTGCAATTCCTAGCGACATTCGAAGCCAGAGTGTGCGAGGCGGGAGTTTCAAGTTCATGGCTAATCCCAGCAGTCCCAGTGCCAGTTCCTGTCACAGGGTACGACGGTCTGCACCAGGACCGACGGCTAGTGGACGCATTACCCACCTTACCGCCAAAGGCACTTGACCCGGATGAGCTGGAAGCGTTCGTCTTGTGCTACTAGTTGGGTAATCATCAGGGTTCAGGTTTTTTGTGCAGTGATGTGCAGTGAGGCATGCGAACACTGCGACACTACAGGCTTGCACATCTCGGAGTTTCCGTACATCCGTGGCTTGTAGCACTCAAGACCGACGTGCTACACTCCCAACTTCAAAAGATTGCCAGAAGCGGCTATGCAACATAGTGCAACTCTGCAGATTGAGAGCAGCTGCCACATGTTCGATGCCACCGCCGAGCAGGAGCCGGGCACACAAGAAACTGCTCTCTGGCTTATTTGTAGTGGCTTGACAGTACTGTCAGCCTTTCTGTCTGTTGCAAGGAGTCTGCGGGCCAGGGAGCCATCTCAGGCAAACGTTGAGCCAGGAGAGTCTCTGTCGGCTTAGGGCTTTGAAGTCATGCAAGACATTCAATGCTTCCTGTGGATATCCGAAGCTTTGCACGGGCAAAGTTGCTGACAGTTTCCTGAAGTGCAAAGAGAATCCACTCTTCTTCACAACTCGTCTAGACATGTCGCAACGTCGGTTCTCGGCACTGAACCGTGGGATCTCAGAGTTGACCAGCAGGGCATACGTTTGCCTTGTCATTACGATTCGTTTGCCTGCCGGAACCAAGCCACGAACCGACGAAGGTTGCTGCAGCAAGCATCGATTTGGTGTATACAAAGGAACTGTCTTTGCTACCTCTTCCCAATTAAAAGTTACTTCTCCAAACATGTGTTGTGAAACAAACTGGAACGTCGATTTTTTTTGAGACCCAGTCCATGTCTTGCGTGCTGTGTAAGGGCGTGCTTCGGACGTAAGGTGATGTGCCCAACTAAACCGGGTGCATCCAAGGCGTTCCGTTTGACCCAGCGGAGAAAACCCGAAAAAAACAATTCAAAGTGCTCAATTGTTAAGCCCCAAACCACGTCGCAACCCTGAAGCCGAGAAATCCCGCAGCTGACAGGTCCTGTGGTTTGTGCTCCCAGTGAGAGCCGCCCTCCTCTGAGCGACAGGGCCGTGCCGTTTCTGGAGGCGAGACCACGAGCCCCATAGGCCTTAGGTGCTGGATTATCAGGCTTTGTGGGACCGAGTGTCAGCAATGAGTACTCCGTGGTTTCTTTCTCAGGAGTTTGTCGTTCCACCCGCACTTCGGATGGTTGTCTTGGGCTTGGTCCCAGGGCCTCCGGTCCAAGCCCACGCTGCAGGTGGATCGAGAGGGCGAAGCAGCTCCCTCCGGCCGCTTCGGCCGCGACGGTGTCAAGCCAACAAATGCCTGGTGCGGCCCTGAAGTGACAAGGATAACCATTGCAGATGCTGTGAATCGGCCTCGAGGGCATAGGATGTGATGGCAAGTTGCACGGTGCACTTCGTTTGTCACGTCTCACCATGTCCATGCAGGATACGCAGGGATCTCTTGGAAGTTGTCTGTGGTGAGACTGAGGTGGACGACCATGGCAATCAATAAGGAGCTCGGTGTCATGTCCAACTTCATGACGCAGATGTGCGGGATCTCAGAAGGAGAGGAGTGAACGCAGCACGCCGCACGGGCCACGCGGCATGTCCGGCCTGTCAACAAATCGACCATGCAGACTCTTGTTTGTGTTCCCGTCTCAGCGTGTTTGTGTCGACATGAGCCGTCTGATGCTAGGGAACTGCGACTGCTGGTTTCCTTGACAGAGGCAGCCCCGTGTGCCGTGGCTTTGCCGCCGTTTGTTGATTCTGACAGATCCAAGGCCCTACATCCTCGGCCCAGCTGAACACGGAGCCAGCTCCTCGCCACGTAGCTGTTTCTGAAAGCCTTCCCTTGCGGAGTTGTGTGTAGGCGATCTCGTTGACTTCGCTCGGAGTTCGTTTGTTTCATTCGCGCAGCATTTGCGTAGATAAAGGTCAAGAACCGTCACAACTCCCTGACGTGTTGGATGCAGAGCCCCGCTCGCTGGCTTTTCCTCGGCACTCGTTAGAGCTCACCATAAGACAACCGTGGGCCTGTGAGCAGCCTCAAGGCAAGCCTTAGCTCCCCACTTCTCAAGCTCGAAAGCCCGTCAAAGCCGTGCGCCATCGCCATGCCGTCAGCCGCCTGTGCATGGGAACTGTGGGACCAAAGCCGCCCCCGTGGAAAGCTTTCCAGGCCCGGCGTAGAGAATAGAGTATACTACGAATAAAATGAAACCAGTGATGATGACAAGATTCCGATTAGGAACAATAGGAATCCCAGTACTCATCGCAGAAATAGCAGCAACAACAGTAATCATAGCCGTATTATTAAAGCTGTAATCTTAATGAAAACAAGAGCAGCAATGACAGCATTCATGGCTTTGCCCTTTCTTCGGCCTTTTTCTGGCGCCTGCGAGGCACACTCCTGTCGGGCCGACGCCCACGGTTTTCGAGGCCCGGTGGAATTGCCGGTGTCCCGTTTTCAGTTCGAGACTGCAAAGACCCTAAACCCTAAACTGGAGCCCAGGCCTTTCATCGTCACGAGTTTGTTGCAGCCTCAGCGCCGGCCAAGATCCGGACGCTGCCAACACCGCTGCCCGCACTCCAGAAACCTCTCGACGAGGTGCCCGGGTGCACATGTCATGCTGTGATTGGGCTGACGGTTGGAGGATGCTTTGCAGAAGCCCGCCAATAAAATGTACATCTTTTTGGAAACTGATAAAGCGTGCCTCAAGGAGGAGATGGCTGCCTCCCGGCCGAGGGTCCAGGTGACCCGCCTGTTTCTGAGAGATGCCTTGCAAGTCCAGTTCGAGTGTGATGGAGACGGCCCCAAACGTAAAACCGAAAGTGTTGTCTAGAAGCTGCCAGGAGCTTCCACCAGAAGAGATGCCAAAGGCGGCTGCTCCAGCTTCCGACTGTAGTTAGCCGTGATACAGTACCAGAGCTTCACAGAATGCGCCGACAATTTTTAGCCAGGTGCGCACCATCGATGAGGAGGATGACCTTCGCTTTAAGGACAGCGAAGAAGTTCCCCAGCTTATCTTTTAAGGGAGCTGGCAGATTTTCCCAGCTTCTCATTTAAGCGATCATGAGTGATCCACTTCATCTGTGCTTTAAACACTACGCCACAGCCTTGGAGTCCGCCGACACGGTGCTGCATTTTTATTTCATGGTTTTCTACACCATCCGTGCTTTAAACACTGCGCCACACACAGCCTTGGAGTCCGCCGACGCGGTGCTGCATTTTTATTTCATGGTTTTCTGCACTAGAATACATTATCATATCGTATGTTATGATAGAATGTTGTATCCAAAGTTATATTTACACTAGACTAGTCTAGACTAGGCTGGAATGGAATGTAGTACAATGCGAGACAACAGTATCTATATATATATACACACACATATATACCTATACACATAGATCTATCTATATATCCATACACACAAAATAGAGATATGTATGTAGGTATGGTATATGTATATGTATGTGTATGTATGCATGGATGGATGGATGGAGGCATCTGTGTGAATGTGTGTATATATATGCATATCTACATGTGTTTGTGTATATAAATGTTTACGTGTGCATATACATGTGTATGTGTATGTGTATGTGTATGTGCAGGTGCATGTGTATGTGTATGTGCATGTGCATGTGCATGTGTATGTGTATGTGTATGTGCATGTGCATGTGTCTGTGTATGTGTATGTGTATGTATGTAGCTGTATATATGTGTATATGCATGTCTGTATGTATGTATG